CATCAAAGTTGCAATCAGAGTGATACAGAAAGGCAAGAAAAATTCCTCTGCAGAGGGATAGAATATTTCACTTATACTTATGTGTGTGTGCACATGTGTGTATACATATATATATATTTACATGTATATGTATAAATGTATATACGTAGCCATGTGTAAATGTGAATGTGTATTGTATGTAAGTAGACATATGTGTTTATGTATATATGTGTTTATGCAATACATGTATAAATTTTCATGCTTTCTCCATAAAATCCATGGTAATAAGTAGAGATAATTATCATTTTACAGATGGGAAAGTTGAGGTAAAGTAAAATTAAGAGATTTTCTTAAATTTTCATTTGCTGGTCTTATCCTATAATGTATACCAACTTCCTTTTTTTTTTGAGTCAGAGTCTCACTCTGTCGCCCAGGCTGGAGTGCAGTGACATGCTCAGGGCCACTGCAGCCTCAAACTGCTGGGCTCAGGGGATCCTTTCGCCTCAGTTTTCCAAGGAGCTGGAATTACAAGCATGCACTACTACACTGGGCTAATTTTTTTTTTAATTGTAGAGACAAGGTCTTCCAATTTGCCCAGGTTAGTCTTGAACCTCTGGGCTCAGGCAATCTTCTCGCTTCTGTCTCCCAAAGTGCTGGGATTACAGGCATGTGCTATTGTGCCCAGCTTTCCTTACTTCCAAAAAGCAATTTGTAATCCCTTCAGTGCCAACTGGGGATGGTGATGGGTACAGTGACTGGTCTAGGGACACTTCTACTCAACTCATGTGCTCAGAAAGGGAAAACTAATGTGGTCACACTGCTCTGAATTGAAGTCTTGACCATGCCACTTATCTATCTGCAACCTTGTGAAAGCCACACAACCTCTCTAAGCCTCAATTTTCTCATCTGCCAAATGGAATAAAAATAGAGCTGCCTTGTAGAGCTGATGCGAGGCTTGGACAAGATAACTGACTTAAGGAGTTCAGCTCAGTGTGGGGCACAGCAGCCTTTGTTTTATTCAGTCCTGCATAAGATACTGTTTCTCAGAACGACAAATTGGTCTCTCTTAATAAAATATATACACCACAGCGCTTCAGAATTCCAGAGGATTTGGGGTTTTGTTCTTAAGATAGAGGCTTCTGGCTCCCACAGGAATAAAGAGGGAAACCTGTAAACCCATTTGCAGTGACAGAAAGCCCTGCTTGGACTCTCGTGTTTGTGTGTTGTCATCTCTCCCTCGCAGACCTGCAGGTCTTGCACAAAGTTCTGTCTTTCTAGATGGCAGGATTACAAGAATGTATGGTTTAAACTTTGCATTTTGCAAAGCGTGTGCATTATTTTCGAGCCTGGGAAACCTCAAAATAATTTAGTTGCCGTGTTTTGTCACATTAGATAAAGACAAAAAAGTTATAGTTGCTTTTTTTCTACCAATCTACAGTCTGTGTTTTAATTAAAACAAGAACCAGGCTCATGACCAGAGGGAAAAACCATGAAACAGAAAGCCTAGACTGTGTAATAGGGCTATGGCTGCAGAGTAAGAAGAGGAGTTTGAAAGTCGGGCGTGGTTTTTGTAAACATCTTTTTCAGCTATAATGTGAGCTTTTCTCCCCGCTCCTGCCACTTAATTGGGAAAGAGGCTTAAGGGCTGCCAGAGATGAAGATTTACGGGAATCTTAAAAACATGTTCATGGGAAACTACATTTCTTTTTACACCAGTGAATCAGCACATTGAAAACATCTTCCTTTTTCAATTTTAGCATTTGAATAATCTCCATTTAGCCCCTAAAGCAGCTGTAACATTCACTGCTCCTAATTTACCTCAACAGGCTGAGAACAATCACTTCAGTATTTAAGAGGTTATCTCCACTTCTTTCTCTATGAAATCATTAAGAACACTACGACTCTGGCATAAAGTATTAAACTTGGGTTATACTGAATTATGACAAAATAATCTGTGTTGTAGGGGTTGCCAGTCAAAGTAGATCTTCTTCAGTTTCAAGTAGACTAAAGTATACCAGGATTGATTTCTCATCCTCAGTACTGACATTCTGGGTCAGAAAATTCTTTGTCATAGGGAACTGTCCTGTGCATTGTAGGTTGTTTAGAAACATCCCTGGTCTCTACCCACTAGATGCTAGTAGCACCTCCCTAGTGTGACAACAACAAAAAATCTCCAGGTATTTACTCAATGTCTGGGGTAGAGGTGGGGCAGGTAAAATCACTCCTGATGTGAACCCACTGCAATAAGCTACGGTATATTCATTGTGGAGAGACAGTCAAGAGTTGCAGCTAAAAGTGGATATACCAAAGACACAGTGCTCCTAACTAGCTGAGTGACTCTGGACAAGTTATGTCAGATCTTCATGCTTCAGCTTCCTCATCTGTAGAATGCAGATAATAACAGTACCTTTGTAAGACTATTATGAGGATTAATCAAGATAATGCCTGACCCATAGTAAGTTCTTGATAAATGTAAGCCATTATTATTATTGTTTCATCAGTTCGATGCAATTTCATAGAATTTCAATTGCATGCAATTTCAAAGCCTGATTTAAGTTTAAATGTAGGTTAAAAATCCAAAAAAATAGACACTTTTGAGGGGGCGTTGGGGTACAGTTCTGCAATTACAGATGGATATTTTTATTTATGTTTCAGAGTGGTCAAGCTACAGCAGCTCAACTATTGCATAATCCTGTACCCTAATTTGCTAAACAGCTTCAGTTATTGCTTAACATATTTTATTATCTTTCAAGTGGAGATTCCTAATTCATCAAAATTATGGGTTGCTGCCAGATGATTCTTCTGTAAATACAACTGCTCTGTTGTATTAAAAAAAAAAAATCTTGACATCAGGCCTGGTCTTTTCCCCAGAGTTCTTTCTTCACCATTGGTTATATAAATATTATTGTATTATTCACTGAAATAATAACAAAAGCTACCATTTTTAAGAATAACTTACTATGTGCCAAGCTAAGTGCTTCAAATATATTATTATTTCACTCAATCCTCAAAACAGTCTTAAAAGTTAGATGTGTATCTCAGAGAGGCGAAATTAATGTGCCATCCAGTCAGCAAAGGTCAGGACAAGGTAGGAGCCCAAGCTAGCTGTCCTCAAAAGCTTACGCTTTCAGAACATAACTTTAATATCAAAGCTCAGAGAGCTACCTCCCAACTCCTAACTGTAACATAGTTTTCTTCCTTTCTCTCTCTCTCTCTCTCTCTCTCTCTCTCTCTCTATATATATATATATATATATATATATATATATAATTTTATTTTATTTTTTAAATACAGTGTCTTGTTCTGTCATCCAGGCTGAGGTGCAGTGGCATGATCATAGCTCACTGCAGCCTTGAACTTCTCGGTTCAAGTGATCCTCCTACCTCCCACCTCAACCTCTCAAATAGCTGGGACTACAAGTGTCCACTACCATGCCTGGCTTTGGGTGGAAGGATGGATGAATGGATTGTAGAGACAATATCTCACTATGCTGCCCAGGCTGGTCTTAAATTCCTGATCTCAAGTGATCCTCCCGCCACAGTCTCCCAAAGTGCTGGAATTATAGGTGTAAGTCACCATGCCCAGCCTCACAGATTCCCTTTCTATAACACCTTCCATTCTATACACACACACACACACACACACACACACACACACACACACACACACACGCTATCACTTTCTTTGCTTTTCTCCACTTTACTGAAAATACCTTGAGGGAGTGGTCATAAAAGAACCATACTCTGAACACATTCAAGTTAAGCATAGTGATTTAGAAAGAAATAGAGAGACATGGGGGGGAGGGGGGAAAATAGACAGGAATATATTATGGGAAAGGAAGAAATCGACAGGAATATATTATGGGAAAGGAAGAAGCTTACTTCTACTGGTCTTAACAAAGACTAATAAAAGTGTTCTGCGAGTAGAAATAGAGAAATGTTGGGTTCACTTTTCTCTGGTACAAAAGATACACCTAAGGTTGTATAAAACAGGTGATTTATCAGACTGGTTCCAGTAATCCAATTCTTGTGTACAGTACATATATTTTGCTCCAAGGAAGGAGTAGAGTAGAGGAATAAAACTGCTGCCAGAGACATGTTAAAGTAGACTCATCATTTTGAGCCAATTTTGAAGTGATGACTTTGAGTTGTGACCCACAACTCTAGAGGGTAAGGTCAGAACTTGTGAGCTTGAAGGTCCTGGGAAGGAAAGTTATACAACTAGCTCAGAAAAAGTAGTCTTCTTACCACATAGGGTGAGATTTGGCCAATTCTGCTGGGGCAATAGAGGCCAACATGTTTGCTGGTGTGGTAGAATTGAATGTGTGGCCCAGGAGAGGTTACATGCAGCTCTAAGCAAGGTGTACATAGACAATCCACTCAGAGCAGCCCTGAGTTAGGCAACAGGAAGTTTGTGGGTGTTATGGGGACTAAGGGACTCATCAGCCCACAACATTCCAGGATTAAGCAGGACCTCAGAAGTTAGCTGCTGGACTAGTCCTTATCAGTGCATGAATCTTCCTCAATAACCCCAATAGGCATCCAATCTGTGCTTTTTATACCTACAGTGATAGAAAGGATTCCCTTTATTACTCATCCATGAATAAACACCAACTTGGCTGCTCTTTGGTCTGTGTCCTTGTGAACTCTAGAGAATGCTGGCAGTGGAACAGCCAGCTGTACAAGGGAATTGGGAATTAACCCTATGAAAGGGTCTACTATGTGCAGGCACTTTCTAAGTAAACTCCGTCAATAATTTTGACAACATTGGAACACATTAGGAATGAAAGGTTCAGGGAGGTTAAATGCCTTGCTTTCCAAATTCACACACTTAGATGGGATTCACTTCTTGGTCCAAGAGACAACCCCAAGCCACACTTAGTCTGTCACACAGGATTTCTGCTGTCAATTTCCAGATGTAGTTGGAAGCATTGAGGCTATACAATCTATAATGGAGAGAAAAGCCCATGAAGCTGAAGGCAGAATATATTGAAAGCATTGCTTGCAAGTAGTAATACTTACAGAAATGTCATCACTAAAGTCAATTTCATCCAAATCAAGGTATTCAGGGGCTTCCATTATTCTTCTTTGCTCATTTTGAGCAAGGTTAAATACTTATAAATTCCTGGACAAGACAGAAGCAGAAAAGAAAGTTACCCATTAGCTGTTTTATAACCAGAAATAATATCTATATTTAAACAAATAAAATGAGAGATGTTATTAGGTGCTAGTGTTGTTTCAGAGCACATTTCCTGCCTTCTGATGTCCCCATCCTGGCGTACCAGGAACAGCAAGTACAACATCCCCATGGTTTCCAGCATGGCTCTCCAGAGAGTACCCATAGTCCTTTGCTTTCCGTGATTTGTGCCAATTGGTCTTTGGCAGGGTAGTAACTTGGGTCAGAATTTCCCCTATGATCAATATTTGGATTCAGACACAACTTTCACCATACCCTGAGTGAAAGTAGGACCCTTGGGGATGGGGAGCTAGCCTGAAAATCTTAGGAAAACCATATTCAAATGTCTCCTGTGGGCATTTCCTTAGATACTGTGCATGGAGCAATGAATACTGGAACTCTAATAGGAGTAATACAAGTATGGGGCAGATTCCAGCTAACCCAGAGTAATGAATATTTTAGAATTTGTTGCACAACCTCCAGTTTACCCTCCCGCCCAATACACAAACAAAAAACAACAAAGAAAGAAAGAGAATCTAAGTGCAGATTGAAACCACAGAGTCACTGCATTGCCCTCTGCTTCAAACAGCTTTGCCTGACTGTGCCAGAGTGACCCGACATGGGTCCCAGACCGTCCTCAGTCAGCATTGCCTCAGGGCTGCCTGGGGAAATCCTTTAAATCTGTCAAGGAAGATACATTGCCTCCCACTTCATTTTCCCATCACTTATCATCATCTCCATCGGCAGTGACAGCGGCACCTACAGATGTCAAGAACAGAAATATAGATCTCCTGACAGTGCCTTGGTGTACAGTTATCCTCCACCGAGCCAACTCTCAGATATCGAAATGAGATTCTGTTTCCTGCAACTTGTCTTTCTTATCATAAAAATTGTCTTACGCACCCAGACTTGAATGGCTAAAATCATTCATTTTGCCCTCTTTCATCTCTAATCAAGGTGTGCCTTGCTGAACAGTTAGGGACACGTTACTGGAAAGTGAAAATACATCAAGGCTGATGAAAATGGGCTTCCCATTATAAGATCAAGAGTGTAAAAAGAACTATTTTTTAAAAAAACCCTCTTATTCTGAAGGCACTGTTTTCTCATTTTGAGCTACCTCCCCTACCTTTTTCTTAAGCCACACAAATGGTATATTTATGATAAACAGGAAAAAAAAAAATCACTTGCCATCCCATACCTTAAAACCACCACCTGATTTAATTTTCCATGGTTCCTCTCCTTCCTTTCCCATATGGATGTATCATTTTTATAGTGCTAATTACAGCAGATACAGAGTCCATCCAAGAAGAGATTAGGATGTTACTTCCATGCTCAAATGCAATTATCCACTTACAATAAACATTAAAAATTTTCCTAAAACATAGTAAGGTTTTGAATAAAAGGAAAATCAATTTTGTATTTGTAAAAAAAATTAAAACCAAGACTCTTATTATTTATGGAGATCTAAAAATAGGTTCTTACTCAAATTTCTTGGTATAAGAATACGCCATTTTCCCTCTAATCTGCATAGAACTTTTCAGAGGAAAACACACATACTCATACTTGCAAATTACTCCAAATAATCTGCTCTTCCACTCTGATGGATTCTGAGATCATCCAGACTTTTTGGATTCCAGCTCATCAGCTAACAGACTTCCAATTCACTTTCTGTTCACTAAATCTGTGCTTCACAATGAACTGTTGATTTACAAACTATTCCCATGGTCTTGGTCAATAATAAAAGGTGATGCCATGTGTCAGGATGTGGTACTGACAAACACAATATCAGCAGGAACATGGAAATATGGGGAGATGAGGCAGAAAAACATACATCAGAGCTGGGGACCCAAGGGAATATACAAAATATGGGTGAACACATCTTAACTAAGCAAAGTAGCACATAATCACTGAACACCTGTTTGAGGTGCTCTGACTCTACAGAGAGCAATATCCAGTTGGGTGTATTCATTCTAATAGAACATAATCAGTGAATAATATAAATCATGACATTAAAGCAGAAAAATATTTACACTGGGGGTGTCAAAAATGTATACACATTTTAAGAGATGTTATCTATGTATTACTTTTCGAGGTTGAATTGACTTACAGTAGCAATATGTAGTATGATGTTCACTCAAAAGATAGCATTAGTTAAATGAATGCTAGTGTCATCTTGAGGCAGGAAGGACAGTCAAAGGGGCAGAAGCACGGTTGTCTGTGGAGGAGCACAAGACCACTTTGAAGTGATATTTGAAATTCAAGAACTTTATGGAAGTACAACAAAGATGGAGGTATGAGTATGCAACAGAACCTCCAACATGTCTAACAATTGCATGCATCTGTGGTAAGTTTGCGACTCATGGTACTGTGTATGATGTGCACAAGGGAAGATCTGGGAGGCCTCACACAGCTACAAGTCCTGCATTGTTGACTTGCATTCATCTTTTGTTATTGGCATATATTGAGTATTATAATTTATTAATACAGTTTTTTCCTTTCTTAAAATGTGTATACATTTTTTGGCACCCTCTGTATTAGCACTAGGAGGATGGTAGTGAAACTCTTGATTCTACAGGCCAGAACATAGAAGTTACAACAGTTGCAGCCCATTATAGGAAGAGATGGGCCACTTCTCATACGTGGTCTGATAATTAAGATTGCAAACTCTCCACCATGCACTTACATTGGCAGCACTGTACAGACAACTTGATGAGGTTTCATAACCTTGGCATATCAGAGTGTCAAAGCTGTATTCGTGTCCAAGTGTTGTGGTGTCTTGCTGAGTGGTGTTCATTATTGTTGTTGCATGTTTTGTGTGCTCTTATGAGAATGTCAGAGCTTGAATTATAGCAATGAACAAGCATTAAATTTCTTGTTAAACTTGGCAAGACTGGAAGTGAAATCAGGGACATGTTTATGGGGATAATACCATAATGAAGAAAATGGCAGTGTACAGATGGAGTAAACATTTTTCTGAGAGGACAGAAAGCATCACTGATGAAGAGAGGTCAGGATGGCCAGTAATGAGCAGAACTAATGAAAACACTGCAAAAATTCACTGAAATGTGCATCAAAATCATTGGTGGACTGTGAGAAGCATAGCAGACCAAATAAACACTGAAAGAGAGACAGTCAGGAAAATCTTAACTAAAAATCTTGTCATGAGAAAGGTGTGTGCAAAAACGGTCCCAAAGGAGCTTTTGCATCAGGACAATGCACCAGCTCACACGGCACTGTCTGTGAGGGAGTTTTTAAGTCAGTAAACAAATGACTGTATTGGAACACTCTCTCTACTCACATGATCTGGCCCTCAACTACTTTTTTCTTTACCCAAAGATAAAGGAAATAACAAAAGGAGACCATTTTGATGACCTTCATGACATTGAGAGTAATATGGCCACAGCTCTGATGGCCATTTCAGAAACAGAGTTCCAAAATTGCTTTGACGAATCAACTAGGCACTGGTATCAGTGCATAGCTTCCCAAGGGGGTACTTTGAGGGTGACCATAGTGATATTCAGCAATGAAGCATGTAACACATTTTCTAGGATGAGTTCACAAACTTAATTGTCAGGCCTCATGTTTATTGCTGTGGGTTGGATGACCTCGCCTTAGACTAAGGGCTTGGAGCCATCTGGAGCTTGCCTTTACTTCCTAGCAGGCCTCCACATGCAGCTTAAGGTGGCTTATTCTGTCTGTGACCCAATTCCTTTTGTCTTGTTTCAATGCTTCTCTCTTTCAAGGTGCCACTTTGAGAGCATTTACATTATCACTTATCATGTGCAGAAATTCCCATGGGTCACTACATTCTCAACATTAACTGCTCCTTTATGAACAATGGTAGGTCGCTGTTGTTCCAGTGGTCAAGACAATGCCTCCTCCTCTCTCCTCTGCCCTTCCACAGAGCATCTGGTACCCTCAGGCCCTCTCTTCTGAGGATTGGGGAGGAGATGGGAAGTGCTAAGGTCAGGTTAGAGCTGTTGCTGCAAGTGCTCAAGCATGGTAAGGAAACTGAGCTGGACTGTGGCTGCTTTTCTCATCTGGCTCTTCTGCCACCTCCCACCCCACACACCAATAAACCGATAAGTCCCCTTTCAGACTGATGACACACATGCTCTAGCAGACACAGCCATAGAGGGCACACACCAGAGGGCACACATCGCAGGACTGTGAGCCGAATCTGGCCTACAGATGTGATTTGTTTGGCTCTAGCAGTGTTTTAAAAAATAAAATCAGTTGCCAACTTGCAGACCTTGAACGATTTCAAATAAAATTCTGGTTTTCTGGCTTCACTGAAAAAATATCTGAAGCTCTGGCAACATGAGTTCACATTCCCCATTGCAACAACAGGCTAGAACTGAGCAACAGCTGCTCCTGCTTGTCCATGGGGCGTGGGATCCCCAGCCCCACCTCCCAGGACCCCTTCCAGGCTGCTTTACTCATGGACGTGGCTTGAGGGCATTGTGAGTGTGTGACCCTTCAAAGGAATCGGTATTAAACAATAAGTGCCACCTCTCTCCCATTTTTATTGGTGCCTCCTGCCAAAAATGTTGACTTCATTTGTATTCTAAGATTAAATTTGTATTCTAAGATTGTTTTAAATTCTCATACCACAACAGCAACAAAATAAAATTTCTTACAAATAAACAACCAGCATGTCACAACTTGTGCTTTCAGAGAGTCTTCGTTTCGTTTTCTAGTACTAGAAAAAGAAAATCTTCACAAACATAATAAAGTGTTACGAGGTGGGGATTATGTTTCCTTCACTTTACAACAGGAGGAAGAAAAGGTTTTTGCTTTGCTGTGATTGGTGTGGATTTACATGGTGACACTTCTCTGCTGTGACTCCAGGACAAGGGAGGAATCTGTGCTAAGTCCAAGTCCAGAAAAAGACCTGAAGCCATCCTCCAACTGGCCCAGGCCAGCAGCTTGAAGGCAAGAGGGCCAACCCTAC